CGGACCCTCAAACAAAACTTGCTGTACCGCAGCGCAGACCCCTTCCAGACTCAGGTGAAACCCTAGAGACTCCCCCGCACCCCCACCAGGCTGGGCTGTTCGACATCCTTTATGCAAATTAAATCTAGTCCTAGGAGCCCCTGGCCCCTCAGGAAGGCAATCCGAACACCAGGAGCCTTTAGAACCTTCTCTCCCTCACTCCTATCCCAGGGTTTACAGTGTGGACAGAAACAACCTCAATAAATTTTTGTCTCATAGCCAGGTTCATATTCTTTTTCACGCACATTTTATTTTTACTTGAACAGAATATAAGAATAGCATGAGCTTGTGGTTAAAAAAAAAAAGTCAAAACCAAAAAGAAAAAAAACAAACTCACTGCCATCGAGTTGATTCTGACTCGCAGTAACCCTATAGGGCAAGGTAGAACTGCCTCTGGGTTTCTGAGGCTCTACAAAGCCTCATTTTCCATAGAGAAGCTGGTGGTTTCGAACCGCTGACCTTGCAGTTGGCAGCCCAATGCATTAACCACTAACCACCAGGGCTTCTTCACAAATATCAAACATCACTGAAATAGAGGTTTGAGAAAGCGACAGTCTCCCATGCCTACCCCTGGAGAGAATCACCATTTATAATTCATTGGACAATTCTTTTCTTTCTCACCATCACTTTAACTTGGAAAGTGGCATTTTGTTCAAATTATTTGATACCCATCTCTACCCACCAGATCAGACTACTGAACGCAATGATCAATCAATCCTAAAGATTATAGTTTAAAAAAAAAAAGGTTAAAAGTCATTTAAAACAACTACCCTGTGTGCTGACTCTCTGTTCCTATAAAGATTTAAGGCCTTAGAAACCCCAAAGGGGGCGTTCTACTTTTGCTTGTTAGGTTTGAATTGGTTTGAATTGGAATTAACTTAATGACAGTGGGTGGGGATATTTGCCAACGAATCTTTCTAGGTCTCATGCTCTAAATCAATATTAGGGTGGTGAATTAACCCGGAAACTCATGACCACAATCATTAGAACTTACATGTTCCTGTAAAAAAAAGAAAGAAAGAAATTCATATCCTGAGAATTTATAGAACTGAAATTGACTTAACGGCCCCTTTCTTTTTAAAATCACAAGGTGTGCTGAACAGGTGAAGTATTTGAGAGACATATGAAAAGTGAACAGATGGGCCTTTTCTCCTCTCTACTGGTTTGTTCCTTTCCGAGATCTCAGGGGAAGCAGCTCCCGGCACCGTTGGGAAAAACTGTTCCGATCCACTGCCTTTTTGCCTGCAGTTCAATGAAGTTCCCGTGCAGACAGACTTGGGCGGGACTGAGGGGCCCTCGATGGACCAGCTCAGGGTTGAAGCCTAGCTCTGCTGCCTTGGGCATGGTGCTTAACCACGTGGAGCCTCACTTTCCTCGCCTGTGAGGTGGGGTGACAAGACCTCCTACCTTGTGGACTGGTGGTGAGGACACCGTGCATGTCGTGCATGTGTCCCAGCCCCTGGCACAATCAGTTCAGTGGGGGGGTTCGCAGTGCCCTTGGCTGCACCAGCCGAGGGCCGCGGAGCCCATCACCTAGCAGCGGCCCGATGGTAGAACTGCTCCTGTGGGTTTCCGACACTGTCCATCTTGAGAGGAGAAAGCCTGCCACGGAACAGCTGGGGGTTTCAACCCTGACCTTGCAGTTAGCAGCCCCACGTGGAGCCACGAGGCCACCAGAGCTACGGAAAAGCCCTCCTGCGAACCCTCCCCTCTCTCTTGGAGGCAGCTGCAGAGGGCAGCCGAGCAGAGGGCTGTGTCTCCGTTTCAGAGAGGAGAAGCCTGAGGCTCAGAGAGGGAGAGAGGTGCCCTCTCTCAGCCACTCAGCATCACAGGGGCAGGGCAAGTACCTGAACCCTAGGTCAGCGCTCTGTATCTTACCTACCAAATTGGCATCCAGTCAGCCCCACCTCATGGCCACCCTAAGTGTGTCAGGGCAGAACTGGCCTCCATATGCTGTCTGATGACCCTGGGTGCCCAGGAGCCTCCAGCCTTCTGGTTAGCAGCAGAATGTGTTCATGGGATTTCAACTGCTGTCTCCCAGGGCACAGCTGGGGGGCTGATGTGGCACTGGAGAAGGGGGAGAGAGCCGGTGTAGGCCGGTCAGTCTGAGGAGACTTCCCAGAGGAGGGCTATAGCCTCGGAGGATAGAAAGGGGTGGACTAGCATGTCAAAGTGGATCCTGCAGGGCGCTAGAGTTGTAGGCTGGGCGTGAGGGGGAAAGTGTTTGGGTTTTTTAAAATCATTTTACTGGGAGCTCTTACAGCTCGTATCACAATCCACGCATACCTCATTGAGTCAAGCACGGGAAAGTGGCTTTTGATCCACTGTGGTAGGAAAGTTACATGAAACCAAGGCAAGAAGGGTTCTTCACAGGACTTCCCTTTATGCAGTCCTGTGCCCTGGGCCGGCGGGTGGTGCGTGGGAGCATTCTCAGTGCTCTTTGGGTCAGGAAAACCTTGGCTCACGGAATATTTGGGAGGCCAACACCCTTAGGAAGTGCTGGTTTTGAGACAGGGGTTCCTGCAGCCCATGGCGTCTGGAGAGTGGCCCTGGGTCACTCTTTGTGGGTGGAGTGGAGAGCTAGACACGGCGTGGGAATCCGTGGCTCTGCCACTTCCTCACTACAGGACCCGGGCAAGCCGTGTTCTCTTTCTGAATGCCATTCCCTTTCTCTGCGATAGAGAAGAGAACATGACGAGCGACAAGATGCTGGGCCTGGAAGTCTTGTGTTGAGTAGAATCACTGAGATGCCAGGAGGCCCCTGGCCCGTGGGCAGATTCTCCTTCCATGTGGTGCAACCCCTACGCCCCATATTTAGTCCCCAGACCGTGTTCCCAGGACTGACGCTGTCTCTTTGGCCTAGCAGAAAGGAGGCGTGGCCTCAGGATTCAAGCATGTGGTACCCAATGAAGTGGTGGTGCAGAGACTCTTCCAGGTCAAAGGGCGGCGTGTGGTCCGTGCTACCGAGGTGCCAGTGTCCTGGGAGAGCTTCAACAGTGGTGACTGCTTCATCCTGGACCTGGGCAATGTGAGTCCTGTCCTGCCCTTCTCCAGTGGGCACTGAAGTGGCTCTTGATTCTGGGGAGATGGCAACACTGTGTAGACACAGGCGCTCTATGTGTGAGTCAAACATGCCTGCAGAGCCCCCTGTGCAGACGTGCCCAGCATGCTTAGCCCCCACACATGTAGATTCAAACCCATCATACATATGTACATAGACCTTAAGTATGCACCATTGGAACAGTGCCCGTGAACTTTGATTAGCCGATAGATTCCCAGGCATTTGGAAGTCATTTGCATTTCAGGTACCAATAGGCATATGACTGGTACGTACAAAAACTATAGGCTCTTAGCCATGCATGTATGGACCATATGCACACAGAGACTTAAGCATGTTTAGGAACCCACCTATGTGTATGCCACACAATCACACATGCACACATCTATGGCCCACCGTACAGATGCTTGATGTTCTGTATGCATTCATCTCAGAAATCCTTATGGACTCACACCTGCAAATGTGCATGGACAGACGACCCACCCAGACTTCGTATGCATGCATGTAGCATCAACTCCATGTGAAACATCAGCGTGCTTCCTATGACTGCAGAGTAGTGAGGCAGAAACGTTCGTGGATTGTATGTACAGCTCCACAGATGTTACAAAGTGACCACACTCCTGTAACCAGCGCCTGGGTCATGGAACAGAATGTCACTGGTCCCCCGGAAGGTCCCTCCATCCTTAAGGGTAACCACTGACCTGAGGTCTCTTAAGCAGCCCGGAGTCACTTCTCCTGTTTCTGGACGTTATTGACACGAAATTCTTTGGTCAACATTACACTCATGAGATTCCTCCCTACGGTTGGACGTACCTCGTTGTAGATTGCTCTCCTGGCTAAGATTCAGTTGTGTGCCCACACCACGATTGATTTCACCTTTCTATTATTGCTGGGCATTTGGTGTTGCGCTTGGTTTGGGGGTGTTGCACACGGTGCTGCTCTGAGCATCCTCCTACTGATCTTCTACAGAAACATGGGTGCCTTGCTGTTGAGTATTCCTTTAGGGGTGGCCTTGCTGGGTCATGGCGCATAGGTACAACTACAGCTCAAAGGGTTTTCCAAAGCGGTCGTGCCAATTCACAATCCTACCAGCAGGTATTTTGATACATGTTGCATATATCACATACGCACACATACCCAGACGTACACTCACACCCCCTGGACCACACGGGGCACATCCACTGTGATCGGGTGTGTACACACACTCACTGCACATACACACCCAGTCCTTTTTGCTGGTGCACGAGGGGCCTGTCTGACACCCGGGGCTCTGTCTAACGTGGGACTCCCTCTTCCAGGACATTTACCAGTGGTGTGGCTTCGACTGCAACCGATATGAGAGACTGAAGGCCACCGAGGTGTCCAAGGGCATCCGGGACAATGAGCGGAACGGCCGGGCCCGTGTGCACGTGTTTGAAGACGGCGCTGAGCCTGAGGCCATGATCCAGGTCCTTGGGGCCACATCCAGGGGACATGGGCCGGGCAAGGGCACAGGGTGTTCGTGGCTGCTCCCATTCAAGGGGCAAAAGTCTTTCTTCTGCTCTCTAAGACCATTTATGCTTTCTTTTTCTGTTTTTGGTCCGTTGTATTTTATTTATTGATGGGCGTTATATCTCCAGAAAAGGAATCCTCGGCGTTCCTGTCCTGTATGCTTCTGTCTTGCTTTCTCGTGATTCACAAGGCCAGCTGAGCTGTCAAACCAGGGAAACCGCTCTGGCGGGGCGGGGGTGGTGCTGGGGTGGATGGGGTGGGGTGGGGTGGGGTGCACAGATGGTTCCACTGATCTCCACTGTTGCACACCACACCGGGGTGTCAGCTGCTGTCTTAGTATGAGATCTCTGGAGGATCGAAAACCAGTGAAACACAGAGACAGAGAGAGAGGGTGGGGGAGACTGACATCAGGAAATGGCTTCCACAGTGTGTGTCTGTGTGTTTGGTAGTCGGTGAGCTCTGCTCTGCTGGGATTGCAGGGCCTGGTGAATCCAAGGAGATTTCTGCAGTCTTACATCCCAGGATCCAGAGGCCAGGCAGCTGGAAGCGGGCAGGGTCGAGAGATTCAAATACACTGCTGTTGAGTCACAGCGACTACCGGAGGCAGAAGCACTGCCCATGTGGGTTCCCGAGACCGTGACTGCTCGTGGGAGTCAAAAGCCTTGTCTTTCCCCCATGGAGTGGTGGCTTTGGATTGCTGACTTAGCCGTGAGCAGCCCAGGGACCACCCACGACACTACGGGGGCGCCCATTGGAAGGGATGGCCTAGGAAGAAATACATGTAGGAAATATTTGAAGCATCCCTGGGTGGAGCCAACAGTATGCCTCCTACTACTAACCCCAAGGTGGACGGCTCATACTCACCCAGAGGCACCAGTCCAGCCCAAATGGAAAGTTGCTTTGGATGCCTGAGTGGCCCCTTCTTGCCTGAGGAGCTCCGTGTGGGGCGAGGCTGCAGGGAGCACATGCCACCCTTTCTCACATCCTCCATCTCTTGCAGGTGTTGGGTGTCAAGCCGGCTCTACCTCCAGGTACCGAGGACACACCCCAGGTGGATGCAGCCAACCGCAAGCTGGCCAAGCTGTACAAGGTGAGCCCTGGATGCTCTGTGCCCCTGGATCAGGGGGCCTCTCTGTTGGGGTCCTTGGGCAAAGCATCCCTGGGGATGGGCCTTGGCTTCTTGGTCTCATCAGTGGACACTTCTGCCCTTCCTTTACCTGCCTGCACTAAGAGAGAGGACGTGACCAACTGCAGGCCCACCCACGTCCTCTTCATCTGTGGGAGCTGGGGCAACACCTGACCCTGTTCCGAGTCTCGGTTTCCTGGTCTGTAAAGTGGGGGGAAGAACTCTGTAGTCTACTCCAAGGTTTCTGGAGACTAAAGAGATCATTGATCGGGCAATGTCTTAAGAAAAATCATTGGAAGAAGAATACAGAAACGAGTGTTTGTATGAGGACGGCCGGTTTTTAGTTTCTTTCCTGTGTGTTTTAAGACGGACTCGAGGCTTAGCTGGAGCTAAGAAAGCTTGCCTCTTGTCTGCGCTCTGGGAGAAAGCCCAGGCTGGCCCTTCACTCCTGAAGCAAAACCAAAGTGGAGGTGCAGATTCTCATCGCCTCCACAGAAAGCCACACTCCTGTTTTCTGGTTGTAAGGTGATGCTGTGCCTTGTGATCAGTCCTCAAGAACATGAGAAGAATAAAATAAGACATCGAGATTTCATTCGTTTAAGATAAACCCCACTGGCCTTGAGTCAATTCCAACTCATAGCGACCCTGGAGGACAGAGGGGAGCCGCCCCGCGGGGTTTCCAGGCTGCATTCTGACGAGCAACTGGTGGGCTTGAACTACTGATCTTTCGGTTCACAGCAAAACCAAGCCACTGCACCTCCAGAACTTGTCATTTGACATAGCTGGTGTTAATTTTTTAAAAAGTGCTTTAATGACAGAAGTAACGATATTCAGTATTATACGAGAAGCCAGCGAATGCAGAAGCTCTTTCAGAAAAGAGAAGTAAAAGTGGTCTCAGGAACAAGGTAGAAGCCCCGGTGGCTTCGTGTGTCAGCACTAGGCTGCCAACCATACTTGTAAGGTTGGTGGTTTGAGCCACCAGCCACTCGGCTGGAGAACGATGTGGTGGCCTGCTTCCGTGAAGATGTACTTCCTCGGAAACAGGAGAAGGCAGATGTACTCTGTCAGACAGGGTAGCCACGAGTTGGAATCAACTTGATGACAGTGGTTTATAGTGTTTTGAAAAACGGTACCATAGTTACGTGGCTGTTGGTTTGATGAATTTCTGTCCAGACATCTTTCTGTATCCAGTTACATCTTGTTCCATTTCTCAACCTCTAAGTGGACCCAAACTATTCAAGCTGTTCTTTTTATTTTTTTAACATTTTATTAGGGGCT